GAGTGGAAAGTGTCTTTTACGTCTCCGATCGAATCCCCGAACCTCTCTTAACAGCATTAAACACTAACTCTCCATTCCTGCCTCCCCCAAGCCTATCTACTTTCTGTCTGTGATGTTGCCTACTCTAGGTACCTCACGTGAGTGGAATCATACAGTGTGTGTCTTTTTCTAGCTGACTTATTTCACTTAGTATAATGTCCTCAAGGTTCAACCATGGTGTAGCATGTGTCAGAATTTCCTTCCTTTTGAAGGCTGAATAACCTTCCATTGTATGTGTAGACCACGTTTTGTTTATTCATTCATCCATAGATGGACACTCAGGTTGCTTAACCTTTTGGCTGTTGTGAGTAGTGTTGCTGTGAACACGGGTGTACAAATATCTGTTCAAGACCCTGCTTTCAGTTCTTTTGGGTGTGTACCCAAAAGTGGAATTGCTGGATCGTATGATAGTTTTGCTTTTAATTTGTGTGTGTGTGTGTGTGTGTGTGTGTGTGAGGAAGACTGGCTCTGAGCTAATGTCTATTGCCAATCCTCCTTTTTTTGCTGAGGAAGATTAGCCATGAGCTAACATCTGTGCCCATCTTTCTCTCTTTTGTATGGGGGATGCCACCATAGCATGGCTTGATGAGCGGCGTGTAGATCTGCACCCAGGATCTGAACCTGCAAACCCTGGGCTGCCGAAGCAGAGCGTGTGAGCTCAGCCACCACACCACTGGGCTGGCCCCTCTACTTTTAATTTTTTTAAGGAACTGCCATACTGTTTTCCTTAGTGGCTGCACCGTTTTACATTCCCACCAATAGTGCAGAAGGGTTCCAATTTCTCCACATTCTCATATCCTCGCCAACACTTGTTATTTTTTGGTTTTGTGTTTTGTAGCTATCCTGATGAGTGTGAGGTGGTATCTTGTAGTTTTGATGTGCATTTCCTAATGATTAGTGATGTTGAGCATCTTTTCATGTGCTTGTTGACCATTTGTATATCTTCTTTGGAGACATGTCTATTCAAGTCTTTTGCCTATTTTTTAATCAGGTTTTTTTGTTGTAGAGTTCTTTATATGTTTTGAATATTATTAACCCCATGTCAGACATATGATTTACAAATATTTTCTCCCATTCCATAGGCTGCCTTTTCATTCTGTTGATTGCATCCATTCATGCACAGAAGTTTTTGATTTTGATGTCCAGGTTATCTATTTCTAGTTTTGTCTGTGAATCAGAATATTGAACACATGGCATCCATGCCCCTACACAGGTTTCAGGTTTTCTCAGACCTTGTCATGTTCTCCCCTTTCCTGGAATGCCTTCCCTTTTCTACCTTTGCTCATCTTGCTCTGCCTAGTGAACCTTAAAGCTCAGTTCAGAAAGCTTTCTCGAGGAGAAATCAGGCAGAAATAATTGTTTCCATAGGTATATTTTCTATATTATGTAACTCTATAATAAAAGCAGTCACATGGCGTCACTTCTTAATATATTAGGTTCTTTTTAATTTTGTCACCCTCTACTAGACTATGAACTCTTAAGGGGCAGGAGTTTTATTCGTGTATTGCCAGTACCTAATCAGTATCTGGCACATAGTAATCACATATGTCAAATGAATAAGTAAATATCACATCATTTTTATTCTTAAGCTCTTTAGCACTAATTTTAGTGTCTGAACTTAAAACAAAAAACCCCAGTACCACTTTTTTTTCCTTTCTTTTATATATTCTAGAGTATACTCTGAGAACAGATCTTCAGTTTTATGGCTTTACAAGCCAAGAGAATCCTGTAGAGTCTCTGTCCCTTCGTTTCAGTCATTGTGTGCCCAGAGAGCTTTCTTTGGTGGTTTAACTGCAGCAGCATTAGAGCCGTTTACTCAAAACCAGAGGACAGTCCACCTTCTCTTTGATCCCTTTCGTTGACTGCTCAAGAATTAAAGGATGGTTCTTTCATTCTTTGGGTCTCACTTTTCCCTTAGTAAATATTTTTGCTAATCATTTAAAAATTAGTAAAAGTAGTATTACTTTTGAGAAGGGGCTAGAGATCCCCTGAGGCCAGATGAGTTTGGTTTATTCTGTTACTTGTGGGTTGATGGTGGCCTTTTTGGTGAGAGCTGCCGTGAGAGCTAACCTGTCCCGCTAGAGGACACCACGTCCCTTCTTCAGAAGTATGGAGGGGTGATCCTGATAGAGAGTAGAACAGGTTTATACTGAAATTGGGAAATGGATGTATCTTCTGTAGATTGAATGTAAAGGAGAATAATTTCTGTTTTCTTTCCAAGGCCATGGAAATAGCATCTCAAAGGACCAAAGAAGAAAGGTCCAGCCAAGATCATGTGGATGAAGAGGTAAGATTTGTTCTCTTCACAGCCTTAGGAAACACTTGTGTTTTGAAGTTTTTTTTTAATATTGCTAGTTCATTGCATGAACTTGATTTTAATAAATCAGTTTTTTTTTTTTTTTTTTTTAAAGATTTTATTTATTTTATTTTTTGCCCCCAAAGCCCCAGTATATAGTTGTATGTCATAGCTGCACACCCTTCTAGTTGCTGTATGTGGGACTCGGCCCCAGGATGGACAGAGAAGTGGTGCCTCAATGCGCACCCGGGATCCGAACCCGGGCTGCCAGCATCGCAGCGCGCGCACTTAACCACCAAGCCACAGGGCCGGCCCATAAATCAGTTTTTTAAATGATGATAATATTTCCTTGAGACATAATATGTTACGCAATTTAACTGAGCCAAATTGTATAACTTACATTCCATTATATCATTCCACTCAGCAACCTATCCTAGATGGAAAGCATTGTTAAAGAACCTATTAGAGTATATGATTCAAGAAGGAAAAGCCTAAGTTTTAGTTTGCAAATGTGAATTTTTAAATGATTTTAATGTTGATTCCTGTAACATTGTAGATTTTAAATATTTATGTTTGGTAAAAAAAATTATTTTAATCTTGGGAGTCAGTGTATTTTTTGCAAAAGTGATCCATAGTGGGCTTTTTTTTTTTTTTAATTCTCACAGCTGTTAGTGTGATGGATGAATGTAAGGTACCCTGTATTTATCAGTAGTTCTGAACCTTTTTTCTATAGCACGGGGTAAATGATGGTCCCATGTAAGAACATGTTCCTTTGTAAGGCATGACCAGGTGGTGTTTGCTCTCTGCAACTCCACTGCTTTCTCTCCCACCCAGAAAAGGTTTTTGGAATGCAAATTAGGGGAGAGAAGTGTTATTTTAAGGGTAGCTGTAAATCACTTAGTGTTTTCTCGTTAGTAAGAAATTACTTCTGGCACACTGCACAGCAGATACAGCCCTGGCATGTGCAGCCAGCCTGGCTGAGAGCCAGTGTTATAGATGATGGTGGTAGATTCCTCTGTGACTTGATGGGGTGAGGATGCTGAGTGAACATGAGAAGTATGTGAATGACAGTTTCAATTTTCCTTGTCCTCTGTGTCTGTTAGGTATTTAAGCGAGCATATATTCCTAGAACCTTGAATGAAGTAAAAAATTATGAGAGGGATATGGATATAATGATGAAATTGAAGGAAGAGGACATGGCCATGAATGCCCAACAAGACAATGTGAGTAGCTTGGTTTGTGTATAGCAAGCAAGTTTACAAAGGAAACTACCGTCCCCAACCTGCAGTCTTTTTTTTTTTTTTTTGGGGGGGGCGGGGGGAGGAAGATCAGCCCTGAGCTAACATCCATGCCAATCCTCCTCTTTTTGCTGAGGAAGACCGGCCCTGAGCTAACATCTATTGCCAATCCTCCTCCTTTTTTTTTTTTTTCCCTTTTTCTCCGCAAAGCCCCAGTAGATAGTTGCATGTCATAGCTGCGCATCCTTCTAGTTGCTGTATGTGGGACGCGGCCTCAGCATGGCCGGACAAGCGGTGCGTCAGTGCGCCCCCGGGATCTGAACCCGGGCTGCCAGCAGCGGAACGAGTGCACTTAACCGCTAAGCCACGGGGCCGGCCCCCCAACCTGCAGTCTTGAATGTTGGCTTCTAATCTTCTGAGATGGCTAATTGCCTTTGCATTAACATGTTCTCTGTGCACATTGGATGAAAAGAGAGTTCATTGGTATTTATGAAAGGAAATGACACATCTGAATGAGTCCAACAGACTGTAATTGCAGAAAAAGGAATATTTGTATAGATCTCTAGGCTATAAATGGTTATTATACTAGATCGATTGACATATATATTTCAGGTAGAAAAGTTTTTTCTGTTAAAGGGCCAGATAGCAGATATTTTAGGCTTTGCAGGCCAAGAAGCAAAATTGAGGCTGTTCTGTAGCTCATTATATACCAAGAGAGAAAAAATTCCCCCAAATTTGTATTGATGAAATTAAAAACACTAATAATAATTGAATACAACTTTTCATGATACAGATCTAGTAATGAGAGAAGAATGGAGTTATTTGGGGGAGGAGAAGACGTTTCATTTAATTGGGATTTGTAGTTAGAGTTTTCTGTCATCAGATTGATTGCGTGTGTTCCTCTGTGGAAACCATCAGGCTGCAGGTCACATTGGACACGTAGTCTGGAGTATGCTGACTCCTTGTGTGTGTGGTGGACAAGGATGACACCCATGCTGTGAACTTTCCGTATTACTATGAGATACATTTTAGGCACCTTTTTATAATCTCATGAGATATTTAGCCCACAGTGCTCTTTCTTAATATTGCAATGAGTGTGTTTCACTGTCCAGTTTGATGTTGATTCTTGTTTTTTTCTTTTTGCTTACAAGATTCTATACCAAACTGTAACAGGATTGAAGAAAGATTTGTCAGGAGTTCAGAAGGTATGAAAAACATGTGTTGCTGTTCATTTATGTGAAAAAACTTTTAAAGGCTGTAAAATTTAAGGTATTATTAGAGTTAGATTAACAATGATACAGTAGTACTAGTATAGATACTTTCAAAGTCATGGGCATTTTCAGAAATGCCCTTTTTGTGTTCATTCTTTTTAACTATAAGACTGAAATATGGAAATTTATGGTTTATTTTTCAATCTGCCTCTGAATTATTCTTTTTTATAGCTGAGGCATTGATCCTTTTTGTATCCTGGTCTTCATTTGTGAAGTTATTAATGAAACCATGTGCTTCGTGATGTTTTTACAGCCAGCTTAAAAAAACAGTGGAATCTGGTCTCATGCTAGTATGTAACCTGCTGAAGACCAATCTCATGAGTTTAGCAGTCTTAGAGTGCTGGATTCCTGTAGTGCTTTTTTTGTTAAGACAGTCTTGTTTTGTCTTACACTTTGGAACTAGAGGGATTCATTCTAATTTAAGCAATAATAAAGGTAGTTGTTATTTTTTTTAATGTTCTTAATTAAAGGCTTAACTATGAAGGATCACAGCTTGCTTTTTGAAAATTTACTGTCTTTTATGGGAAGAATGGAATTAGGAAAATTCCAGTATTTTGCATTTCTGAGTTATATCCAACAGGTATTATAGGGCAGTTGTACTTTGAATTCCAGAGCATGAAGATTTTGTTGCAATTGGCTAGAAAACCTTTTTGTACAATTGCCTTTTAAAGATCTGTTTTTTTCTTTCTTTTTTTTGGTGAGGAAGATCAGCCCTGTGCTAACATCTGCCAGTCCTCCTCTTCTTGCTGAGGAGGACTGGCATTGGGCTAACATCTGTGCCCATCTTCCTCCACTTTATGTGGGACGCCGCCACAGCATGGCTTGCCAAGCGGTGTGTTGGTGCGCGCCCGGGATCCGAACCGGCAAACCCTGGGCTGCCGCAGTGGAGCGTGCGCACTTAACCGCATGTGCCACTGGGCGGGCCCCTGTTTTTTTTTTTTTTTTCTTCGTATAAAAAGAAAACCCGTCTTTTTAAAAAATGCTTCCTGCTGCTTTAAAAACTGCTAAACTTGAAAACAATGAAAATTTCTCTTGTTTAAATATTGTCTTACCTCTTGATTATATTAAGAATGCATTACTTGAAATTCAGTTCATAGGAAAACAGCTGTGAAGTTATCCAAATAAGTCTCTATTTTTCACTTGTGTCTATATTTCACATCCTTCCACGTCCCACCTCAGTCCTCCTGATTTGCTGAAAGAAGTAGAACAGTTCTGGTGTTGACCGGGGTCGCCCGGGAAAGCCCAGTTCCCGCATTTGGGTGTGCTCTTGAGCCTTACTGGCATGGCTCCTTCCTGGCTTCCTCCCTGATGTTGACTCTGTTGTTTTGATGTTTCAGTACAGGATGTTTTCAAAGTATATCTTCAAGGCTAAAATCTGAATTCTGTCATTAACACACTTAATAACAATAGATAACTGATTGCTTTGGCATAACATAGTTATGTAATATTTTTAAGGTTCCTGAACTTCTAGAAAATCAAGTTAAGGAAAAGAATTGTTCTGATTCAGAAGATGCTGTAAGCTCTGAGTGTGCTGACACAGACTCTGAGGAGCAGGGAGACCATGCCTGCTCCAAGAAACCCACCACTGACCTTCAAGTTGATAAAAAGGTTAGCCAGGAACTCAAATTCCCTTGTTCTCCAACATGGCAGCACAGCTCCTCTTATTTCTCTTTGTCCAAGTGTCTAGATTATGATGGCTGAAAGCAGCATTGATCAATAAGTACCTCTAATTATAGTTTCAGTTCCCAAGTGTGAACTTTGCTTTTGGTGGTAACATTGTCTAGAGATTGGGTTTCTGTTAGGAGCTCTTGGGTACTGCCTAGAGAGTGGACACACTAAATTCAGTACATTGATTAAAAATGATTATCATTCACTTGAAGTACCAGTGAGGTTAGAGTTGCCCCGTGGTACAATACTGAAGAGCCAGTTCAGGGGGATTTACAGCCCAGCCTGGTGTTTCAGAATCTGAAAGACTATTTCTTCCACTCCTAGCCATAGACATAAGAGACACTACTGATTGAATGATACATGACTGTAATTATTATAGTACAGTCATGCATCACTTAACAACGGGGATACGTTCTGAGAAATGCGTCGTGAGATGATTTTGTCGTTGTGTGAACATCCTGGTGTGTACTTACACAAGCGTAGATGCTATAGCCTACTACACACCTAGCCTATGAGGGACTAATCTTATAGGACCACCATCATATATGCAGTCTGTCGTTGACCAAAATGTCGTTAAATGGCGCATGACTGTATTCTTCATTCTTAGCTTAATCCTACCTTATAAAATGTGAGTCCTAAGACTTCTGAGAGACATACCCAACTTGCTAGTACATTTTCTCTCTTTGCCTACTGGAAATAAATATTTTTTCTCTTTCTAACCTTTATTTTTGTTAGAGTATGAAACTTGTAAAGAAAAACAGTTGCAAACATTTAATAATATCCTCACGGATATTTCTGTTTGGCTGTCTTCAAATTTCTGTTAAGAAACCTTAAAGATAATTTTCACCACAAATTCCACTACCAAGCCATAATCATTTTCACTTTTTCGTGTTACAATCACTTTTATCGTTTTACATATATTTTTTAATTTAGTTGAATATTAACTTGAATACTCTGAATGAAATATGCAGGTTTTTTAATTTTTGTTTTTGTTTTACAGGAAAGAAAAAAGATGGTCAAGGAAGCCCAGAGAGAGAAAAGAAAAAACAAAATTCCTAAACATGTGAAAAAAAGAAAAGAGAAGACAGCAAAGACGAAAAAGGGCAAATAGAATCAGAACTATGTTATGTACCGTAATTTTGCACCAGTTACTTTTCATGCCTGCATGCTAAGCTGCAGGTGGAAGATGAGTTATAGATTTTTTTTTTTTTTTTTTGTGAGGAGATCAGTTTTTTTTTTTTTTTTTTGTGAGGAGATCAGCCCTGTGCTAACATCTGCCAATCCTCCTATTTTTGTTTTTTTGCTGAGGAAGACTGGCCCTGGGCTAACATCTGTGCCCATCTTCCTCCACTTTATATGGGACGCCACCACAGCATGGCTTGCCAAGCTGTGCGTCGGTGTGCGCCCGGGATCCAAACCGGCGAACCCTGGGCCGCCGCAGCGGAGCGTGCGCACTTAACCGTTTGCGCCACCGGGCCGGCCCCTAGGGTTATAGATTTTAACCGAATGGTTGTTACAGCAGCGTCTGTGAAGGCTGATTCGAGTGTCTTTGTGTAATTATGTAAAAAGCTCTAAGCTCTGTTGTCTAGATCCAGTCACTGGCTCTGTCTAGTGTTGACAGAGGATTTATTTAAGCTATTATTTTAGTGAAGAACTTTGTACAGTTTTATAGATTTTTCTGTTACAATATGTTTTTTGAAGCATCATAAATATTTCGAGGTAATGAACATCCATAAGCTTTATGTAAGTGTAAAGGTACTTTGGACACATTGTTTTTGCTTTGTTTGTACATCCAAAGACCCATCTGAAATCATTTGATAGTAAGGCCATGGTTTCTGTAGAAGGGCGTTTCACTTCTAAGAGAATTCAGTTGGTGGTTGATGTAATCACTGCAGCTCTGTTCTGTCTGCGTTGGTGATCATTTGTAATGCGCTTACTCTTCATCTTTAATATTCTTTTTTGAGCTAGGACCTCCCAGTTCATAAACTATTTCACATTCAACTATTTAGCCTGTTCATTCATTCATCAACTATTTGAGTATTTCAGCTGCTGGGGACACAGCAGTAAACAAAACAGACAAAAATTTCTAGCTTCAGGTAGTTTACTTTTTTTTTTTAATAGGAAGATTAGCTCTGAGCTAACATTGTCAATCCTCCTCTTTTTGCTGAGGAAGATTGGCCCTGAGCTAACACCTGTGCCCATCTTCCTCTGCTTTATATGTAGGACGCTGCCACAGCATGGCTTGACAAGCGGTGCGTATGTCCGTGCCCGGGATCCGAACCTGCGAACCCCAGGCTGCCAAAGTGGAGCATGCAAACTTAACCAATACACCACTGGGCTGGCCCCCAGGTAGTTTACATTTTAAAGGAAGACAAGATATTAAGATAAGTAAAAAACAATATATCAGCAGGTGATAAATTCTATGGAGTGAAATAAGGCAGAGAAGAAAGAATGCCTGGGGAGGTGGGAGTTTGCAGTTTAAAAATAGGCCACACTGAGAGGCTATATTTGAGCAAATACTTGAAGAATGTGAGTCATGTGCATTTCAGAAGAGAAGAGCATTCCAGGTACTGCAAACAGCAAGTGCAAAGGCCCTGGGGGCGGAAATGTACCTGAAATGTTCTAGAAACAAGATGCTGGAGCATCCTAACCAAGGAAGAAAGTAGTAGATGAGATCAGATGGTGTTAGGCTTTTGGAGGGTTTTGAGCCGAGGAGTGGTATGATCTGACTTCTGTTTTGAAAGTTGCATGATCACCCTGGCCTCTGGAGAACTGACTAGGAAGCAAGGGTGAGAGACCAGTTGGGTATTTCATGTGGTAACCCACATGAGAGATGATCATGGCTTGGCTTAGGATGGTAGCAGCAGACATGGAGACAAGTGGTCGTCTTCTAGAGACAATACAAAGGTAGAGTGAACCGGATGTGCTAAGGGAATACATGAGGAGTTGAGAGAAAGGTTTACGGATGCCTTCAGGATTTATGACCTAAGCGACTGCAAGTGACTGTTGGAGTTGCCACTTACTGCATCGGGAAGGAAGGCGGGTGGAGCATGTTGACGAGTAGTGGGGTGAGATAAAAGCTTATATTGCAACACAGCACACGTTGAAATTACCAATTTAGTTTTTTATTTTTATTGTTTTTACCATGTACTTTACCTTAAAAATGCCTAATTTAGCCCTTTGCCTCAGAAACAGTTTGTATAAATAAACGGTTTCCCTTAAACTGAAGCTTGCACCTGCTTGAGAGTTGCTGGATTATTGGCAGGGGGGTCCACTGAGCTTTTAAAATTTTCAGTCAAATTTATTATGTTCATAATATCTTTCCTTCCTGACTTTAAAAAGTTCAAAATACAAAATATAATTTCAGTGAAACACAACAGCAGCCCCTCTAAAATATCCTACAATTAACACAACCAAAGAGAAAGCAAAAACAAATTTAGCAATCCTGTCCACCTTTGGGGATTTGATCTTTAAGATCTTCTGGTTCTTGTCTTTATTTGGTCTTACTCTCTGACAAGGTGTGTCTGAATCAAGTGGTCAAGCTCCTCGGAGGTATCTTTTGGTGAATCTAATGCAATTACTAAGTTTGGAATCAATTTCACTCGGGCAGAAAGTAGTGTGGGCAGGATTTAGGGACAATTCATTCTCATTTACATTGCTGTCAGGAGGAAGTGGCTTTTAAAATGCCAAGATTTGGAACTGTAGGGGGATTCTAATTTGAGGAACGTTTGTCTGATAACTCTCTCGCTAATGTGGCTGTTGCCCTGTTTGGATTCTGGGCCACAGGCCGTGGCTGAGTAGTAACCACTGATCGTATTCTTGCCAAACTTGTCTGAGACTGTATTTCCATTGTTCCTTACCAGAAGGCTAGGAAGAAGGAGCCTCTTCTTAGGCAAACTTACGGGCTTTGATTGCCATTGAGTTTTAACAGGTGTTAGTGTCTGTGGATTATTGGCTGAATAGTTACTTTCCAATTGGAGAGATGAGGTTTGGGTCTCTTGGCCCAAAGGCTGGGACATAATTTTGTCAATTATAGATGTATCTGATTTTCTGTCCTATTTTGTTGATTTTCTAATCCCTTCAAATAATGTGGGTGTTTCTAAAAGTTTACTGTGAGAAAACTGGATGATTTCTTTGAAGCACAAAGTCACAGCTATTTCTTACGCTGCTCTTCTTACTCTTGCTTGGGTAAAGCAGTTTGGGAACAGAACTTTCATGGCCCGGAAGCTTCAGTCTTGGAGCGCGGCCTTGGATTGAGGAGATAGGAGCTAGGGCAGCTGTGTGCCCAGGTCTGATCAAGTGTGAATCTGTGGTTCTGGGCTGACATCAAGTTTTCTTCAGCTTTATCTGTAACTTGACGAAGGTGGACTCAGGTTGAAAAACTTTATAGTTTAGTACTAAGAGTTGTTTGAGATGCGCTCTCCTTTTCGTGAGTATTCTGCTGAATTCAGTGCAAGCAGCTTGCTGCTTCTTGGCTGCAGGCCTGTCCTGTTTTATGCCTGTGATTTCATTAACCTTTTGGCTCAGAAAATGAAGAGCTGAAAACAGTCCTAGAAGCTGGTAAAAATTCAATTTAAGGACATCACAAATGTCATGGCATCTAAATGATGACATTTCTAAAAAATCCTTTTCATTTTCCAAAGCTTGCCAGGTTTTCTAATTTTTAGTTGTCTGTACACATAGTAAATAAAGACCATGAGCATTCAGAGCTTTACTCTCATTTCTGGGGGTTACTTTTTAATGATGGAGGCGTTGCAAGGAGCAGCAGCTAGAGAAAATTCTACTCCTCAAAGTAGAGTTTCCTGTGAAGATTGATGTGGCCACATCAGATGAATAAGGTTTTCATCCACGGGTGGTCATAGAGCGAGAGCTCTCCCTCTGTCTCTTGAACTGCATTAGGTTACCACATGCCCTACATTTTGGTTGGAGCATTTAACGTCCGTATTCTTTGAGTTTGTGTTGCCTTGGACAAAGGTCTGTATACTTGTTGTCTTATTATTTTTAAGTAACTTTCTGCCTGGGCATCAAGGTTTAATCATGTGGGCCCCAAAGGTAGGCCTAGGCAGGATTGTGATGCCTGCTGGTACTGGCCTAGCCTGGTGTCTCTTGAAATGCCCTGTGGGTTCTGAAAGTCAGATTCTACTAGTGGATGCAGTTAGAGGATTTGTATATTGAACAAATGCTGATAGAATATTTAGTTCTGCCAAGCCTGATCCTTGTTTTAAAATATAATGTCCCCTTCTCAGTGAGCTCTCCTAACAACTATTTGGAATTGGAGTCTGCCCCCCTCCCTACGTCCCCCACATACCATGTTACCTTTCCTCTACATTATTTTTCTATAGCTTTTCTAACAAACTAACTGACTTACATATAGAATTTACTTATCTGTATTGTGTGTCTTCCCTCCTATTTCTAGAATGTCAGCTCCACAAAGGCAGGGAGTTTTAGCTTTGTTCAGTTTTGTATCCTGGCACCTAGAATGGTGTCTGTAACATAGTAAATGCTCAGTAAACATTTGAGTGGATAATACATTGTGTTTCTTAAGGAAAGATGAGACTATTATATCAGTTGGATGCACCCTCCACGTTCATAAAAATGAAAACTAGGAGCTGATGTGGATTCATCTGTGCCCTCTAGCCCTGCCCTTCAGTGACCATTGGCACCTATTTTAAGGTGACCGATCTGAGCCTGTCTGTAGACTACAGTGCTGCCCCTGCCGCGGGCTGTTGTCATCAGACCCTTGGCATTAGTACATCACTCAAGCCAGTCAACTGGTGTGTTTTACACTAGATGGTTATTTTGACTCTGACCATGTGAGACCGTTTGACTGTTATCCAAAGTGCTCAGCCAAAAATGGATTGACTAATGAATTATTCAATCCCAAATCACCGCAATATATGGGAATGGGAGACTTTGAAACCAAGGCTTATATTCATACATTTTGCCATCGCTTCCCAAATATAGACTGAAAGTTTTTAAGATAAATTGATTTTAAGAAATGGTCCTCAGTTTAAACAAGACCCCTGCTTGTGTTAGAAGCTGACGGGCTCCCACAGTGAAGCACCATCGTGGTCCTTTCCTTCAACAGGGCAAAAAGTAGTATCCCAGCTC